TTCATGTATCTAATGCATAGTGTACATATTTTAGACCCAAAGTGACTGAGTTATTACCTGATGGAAAACAGCTGCACCCACGCTGAAGATTCTACGTTATCCGTGTTGCATATCAGTTCAGAATTTTCCAGTCCAAAATGCTGGTTAATTAAAAAAAATGGCATCCCATAAAGAGATCCCTACTGATATGTCTTGTGATATTCTGCAAACTGAAGTTGCCATGGTAGCGATCATGTTTCATAATTAACTTGAATTTGAGTAGTTTTATCTTTCAGACCTAGACTAAAACCACATCAACAAAAAAATGAATGTAAGCTTAGCATGCTATTATTAGTAATAATAATATATTAATAATAATTAATCATAGCTCCATTTCTACAAATTCTTGAAGTCCAAAGACAAATTAAAATCTGATTCAAATAGCCCTGTGCTGTTGCCATTTTGCAAGGCAGTATATAACAAAGCTATGAATGTATCATTTCATTGCTTCAGATTCCCAAACATTCTTATAGATGAGCCAATCGGACTTGCTGTTGCATATATATATATATATATATATATATATATATATATATATATATATATATATATATATATATATATAGCCCTTTTGCAACCCCAGGTTTCTTTTGCAATAGCATGACAGTGCTGCATTGTTCTGAAAGGTACTGTGACATAACAGCAATGACACACTTTGTTGGTGAATTTGTCCCTCCCCTATTAAATAGCCTGCCAATATGTGATTTGTTTAGCAGCATCAGAAACATGGATTATAACCAATAAGCATTATGTGCTTGTAGCCTGGTTGACCTGTTCTCCTGATATGGAGCAGCAATACGCTGGGCATCTTAATAACCATTGTTGATGATGTGCTGAGAAAACACACATAGTGATCTGCTCCACAGCTGCGGAGTGTCCATGAAACTGGGGGATCATTGAGTGCTGCATGAGACTAACAGTAGTGGTATGTCTTCTAGTACCAGTGATAGGGAAGCACGTAGTTGTGACCAACTCGTGTTATTCAAGGACAAGCCGAATAGCGACTCGTGCCCCTCTTGTGGCCATTTTTTCAAATGGGTCCCATCTAAGCGCAAACGGGCATAGCTAAAAGAATTGTCAACTCGTTGCGTAATGATTCACATATATTTCCCCCATATATCATATATATTTTCCAGGTGCTATTTAAGACACCTCAGGACCTACAGTATTATACAGTGTGATTGAACACATTTAACTGTATCTTGGGTATAGTTTTAGATGCAAGACAAATGTCAAATAAAAATATATTCCTGGGGATTCTTTGACCGAAGTACTTGATGTCATACGTGCATTCTGATTGGTTTGTCATATTTTCGCATATAACATTCATCGATAGGGGGACGAGTCTTCTTGCAGGTTACGGAAAGGGGCGAGTGGGGACAAATGGGTAAGCACGCTCACCTGAAAAGGAGCTATCATGTATTGACAGACTTGTCAAAATGCTTGTCTAACATCTACTTCTAGTTTCTGAGATGAACATATTTTACTGATAAAAACAGTTGTTAAATTAAAGTTATGAAATATAATTAAAAGGCGCCCAGAGACTTTTTCATTTTGATGCTGCGGTAATCAAGAATTCTTGCTAAATATTATAGACTTGCATGGGCTGTATTGGATATATTTGTTTCAGGGTCTGTATGGCAGACTATCAAAATGCTGTAAGGTTTGGGTTTGTATTGAGCTAAACTGCCTATGGACGTTCAAACTGCCTATGGACGTTCTGTCTTTGAACCTGTAATCCAGTCTCAGTCATCATAGGTCCGAAGCCTTGGTCTAGTGACTTGTCGGTCTGTCTAGTAGGCTCAGCCATAACTGTCCTATTGACACTAATATCTACTTAAGGTATTTGTAAACAAGTTTGGGCTATGGCGAACTCAAGAGGTTTTGGACCAGCTGCTTTACCACCTGCCAGAAGCCCCTGTGTTTTCCCTTGTCGGCATGGAGTGAGTGTGAGTCAAATTATTAATGGCCCATGATCGCATCAACAGTGTTTCAACCATACAGAGATATTAGTTTCTTAACGGGGTAACAACACCAGATCCATCAACCACTTGCAAGTTTCAAGGCAATTGCATGCTTATCACGATAATAGATTGCTTTATAACATGTATAAATTCAGTTGGGTTGGTTATGGCTTAGTGCATGCAGAATGTACACAATACGATGTGCAGTCAATTGAAAGTGAATAAACATTGTGACAGTTGTCAAGCATGTAGACAAGGGTATGTTAGCAGGGGAGGTTACTCTAAGGTGTTGATGAATTCTCACTACATGTGTTATGGAGGGCTTTGATACAGGGTGGTGACAAAACCAAAACAAGGTTCTTTGATTAAACTGCTACAGCGAGGACATAGAGACACGGGATCTCTTTGTTTCTAACAATAAGTGGGGCGGTTGGGTAGCCTAGTGGTTAAAGCGTTCACTCATCACGCCGAAGACCCGGGTTCGATGCCAGACATGAGTACAATGTGTGAAGCCCATTTCTGGCGTCCCCCGCCGTGATATTGCTGGAATATTGCCAACAGCATCGTAAAAACATACTCACTCACTCTAACAATAAGTGGGCCGCTATGTAAATTATTAACCCCTAAAAATAATTGATTGAAATGACGAGTTTGCTCGGGTAGAGAGAAAAATGTCGAGCACAGATTGCACATGTGCATAAATGAGAAATTTCCATCTTTTATTTAGCCATGTGATGGGAGATGTCTTGCAGTTGAGAGAATTTTCCATTGTGTCACATCAGCAGATATGCATCTTTAGCATGATAATGATATGAAATATCTGCCTGTTGCAGGTGCATATATCTGTCAATATTACTACAGGATTGAATACGAACAGGCAATGTTTGAAGTACTATATTTTATATGTGGTGTCTCCACTATGGTATGAATCTTTCATACCTGTGGTGACAGCTCTTCATGGATATTTAGACCCGTTAAGATCCGGGTAGAATTCGTCTTCAACAACCCATGCTTGCCATAAAAGGCGACCATATTGCTATTAGTGACTTGTGTCAAACTAAGATATGCTTTGTGTTTAATTAGGTTAATCTCTACCTGTTTGAGAGATACCACAATTTACAGATAAACAAATTTAAGGATTTGAATCAAATTTGCTGGGCCTGCTAGTCCCTTTAAGATGCAGTTATTGTCCTCAATACATTGTCACAAAGTGCAGTTTGATCAAACATGAATAAACATGAAGACAGTAAACTGTTTTTGTCAAGTCTGACGCCATTATTGGCTGTCAAGATTGTAGACAAGAGTATATTAGTAGGAGAGGTTATTTTGGGGTGCTGATGAAATCTGATTACATTTATAATGGAGAGCTCTGATGCAAGGTCATGGTGACCCGATACTTGGCGCAGTTATTGTACTGCTTGAAGCATAGTTGACTTTTAGGCCCTTTTTTATTTCTTCATGTTATCCGTTTTCTTAAACCATTATAAGGATTGGTGTTCAAAATAAAACAATATTAATGCATGATATGTATTTGGGGCTGATATAAGTCTTTAAGAAGGATGGTTGGCAAGGGCAAAATTACAAAAACTGAGATGAAAGGAATGGGTTGTTGAAGTTGTCCTTTGAATGGCGTGACAAACAGTGGATTTCTTCCCATATCGATCAACTTGGGACTTTTTCTCCATAACTGAATTTTACTTACAGACTTGCTGGGAAGAAAAAGACTAAGTTCTTGTTATTTCATTCCTCATTTGTAAAACTGCAGACTCAGCACAGCCATAAACATGATGAACTCAGTTGTGAAAAATGACTGAATGATGTGTAGTGTCAGCAGGGAATTGTTTGAAGCTGCATTTATTCCTATCATTTTTCTCGTCAAATATTCCAAAGCAATCTTACCGCGAGATTAACACAATGGGTGGTACATTAATCACAGTTGAAAAATGACTTTGCCCTGGGTACACTTGCACTAAGTGTTAGTAGCAGCTGCACTGCAACTATCGCATCTCCCTTACATTAACATCGACTTACTGTAGCTTTAGCCTGTGCTCCTGGTAATGGATTGAGCCATTGTGGATTAACTCACAAGTTGTCATTCACATTGATAATTGGTAGATTTCTATGGGTATTCAATATTTTTTAACTCTGTTGGTCCAGTTGATTATGTATTATTATACCAGTGAGTTGACATTTTAAAAAAATTATAAGTACCCAAATTGTTTTTATGCTACTGTATTTTGCTCAAATACATAGGTTATCTGGAGCTCTGCATTAGCGCTATGAGCAAGTGGCCCTTGTTTATTTGGTACATGTTCAAGAAATTGAACCTAGGTGCTGTGTGTCAACTCCCATGCTTTAGCACAGCTATATGATATCCCTCTGTAGGATGTAGCCAGACTTGATGACTGTATCAGCTATTGTGAAACATAGCTGCAGTCTTTGCCGGTATGACTACATGTCATGTATCATCAATTCAACTCCCTCATCTATTTTGTGACATCTTTAGACCAATGCACAACTTATGTATCACTTATATGATATTTCAGTGAGCTGTGTTGCATTGGTGGCCCTGTGGTCTAAGGTGCCATGATTGGCTGTGCAGAGTTGTGTACCTTTGCACTGCTGGAATTAGCTAATAATGGGTTCAAATCCCAGGTGAACCCTGATTATTATCCTTGGTTTGTCAGCTCCCGAGCTGTAGGGTTTCACCAAAGTTGTCAACGTCTAAGACCTGCATCACTTCAGACATACCCTTTTAAGCTGACATGCCTTGATATAACTGAAATACTGTTGTATTTAAGACGGTGGTAAAACCCAACTTTCTCTCTCCTTAATTTTTCCTGAAATGCTTTCCATTTGTGGTTATCATCCATTTTATTTGTGTAACACTAGTGCATGTTTGATGGAAGACGAAGGATGATATAAACATAAGCACATGTACATGCAGACAATCCAGACCCACGTTGTGTATTTAATCCCACTTCCTGATTGTTTCAGCTGTGTGTATCTGGCTGTGGAAGTTACGCCAGCAATTCCCGCCATTGGAGGGGCCTTGTTTATATTCGTCATGGCAACATTATTCCGAACAAGCTTCAGTGATCCTGGAGTTATCCCGCGGGCAACACCGGACGAAGCTGCCGAGTTAGAGAAACAAATGGGTAAGTAGCACACAAGTAGCATCTTAAGACCCAGCTTTGTGAGTTCACTCTCTCTTCTATGTGGAATGGCATCTGGCATCTCCTTTCTACACTTCTCCCATTGGTTGGGGGAAAGGGGGTCGGGATGGGGGTGGGGGATGGGGTTTGACCCAGTGGTCGAAGCCAAAGCAACTTGCTGTGCGGAGTCGTGTCCCTTAGCTGTGCCAGAAACCCCTGATCGTGGGTTTGAATGTGATTATGGTACTAGGTTTGTCAGCACCATACCCGTGCTTGTGGGTTTCAGCTAGTGTCAAGTATTTAGATGTGCATCACTTCGGACTTTCCCGACACATCAAACTGACATGCTTGGATATAATTGAAATATTCCTCAAATCGATGTTAAAACAGATACTTACGGGTTTCCATCAAGACCCCTGTCCATACCCTGCCTCATTCCTTTATAAGGCTTACACCAGCATGCTAATTTTAGCACATAGGGTTTTTTTCCACCCACAAGCTAATAATGACCAATGGCATCCTTTACTCGAACTTAAATAAATTGCGATGACAGGGATTTATCTAGACCTGTTTAGAGGCTGTTATTGGGCCCCAAGTCTGCAGCAAATGTTAGTCGAAATGTCTAAATTGGACTTACACATTTCCCAGTTCATGCTGGTATAGTTATAACAAATGGAATGGCAATGTAGGGGTGATTTGTATTATATCAGGTCCTCGAAAAAGAGTTCCTTAGAATCAGTGTGAATCCCCATGAGAGAATAGCTGCTAGTGTTACATCGTAACCCGAAAGAGTTGGTAAAGGTACTGCTTGGCCCAGTGAGTAGGGCAGGTCTTCAGTATGACCTTTGAGGCTTGAACTTACTGAGGTCCTGCCAGGTCGGTGCGACCCCTCTGATGGTGTTGCTCCAAGATGGCCTCAGAGCATGGAGACCTACTTTGTGTCGTCACATTGTTACTAAACCCATTCCATGCGTGGGAGTGAGCTCGGTGGGAAATGTTTCCGGCTGGTTCAAGTAATAGTTTAGTGATTACATAACGTGGCCTGTATTTGTTAAGGTGAAGTTCCCTTGTGAATGCTGGGACTTAAGCGAAGAAGAATTTCTAGAACTAGAACTATTAATTAATATCAGGTTTTCATAACAATGTTTCATAAATATGAGGTGGGAGTCATGTTCTTTTTTTGTTTATATCCAAGTGCGAGATCTGTAAACATGGAGTGTCAACAGGCGTGATACGCATGAATCTTGAATGTTTGGTAGCTCCGGTGTATGGTGTATCCATCAAGTAGAGGAACAAGGCAATACACAGGGTGATTTCATTCATCTGTATATATAGTTGGGGACGATAATGTAATATGAGGTGAGGTGTTTAGTAGCGAAGACGGACAGGGTTGAAATTCAACATTTATTTCATTTTGGCCTAATATCAGTTTTTAAAGCCCACAAAATTACTAGAAGCATCTAAATCTTGTTGCTAGAAGTCACAGTTTATCATTTCTACATTGCTGAATAGTACATGGCTCCGTATTGATTTTTCCTTTGTAAAACAAACCTTGTGTGGCTTACAAGGTCACCGAACCCAGGAAGTTCAAAACGTGCAATTAAAGCATTAATAGTTCTTATTAAATATTGATGCCAAAATTTAGGCCAAGGCTGTGTCTTTATAATAAGGAAGAGTGCGAGGCTCATGGTTCTTTGATAAATGTAAAATATTTACCAGGTTTGTCGCCGTTGGTAACATTTTTTCAGTGTCTTCTAATGTTAATGATAATGTGATGAAAGGTTGTTAAGGATGAATTTGTAAATGTGCTTTGGTAAACTCTTTAGCTGGGAATCAGTGGAGATTTTGTTATCAGTTATGTTCAGTGTCATACCAAATTATGTTAAAAATGGTACTTGTTGTTACCCTGTCTGACGCTCAGCATTAAGGAGCTAAAACAAGGACTGGTCGGCTCGGAGTCAGTATACTGTGTCTGAGTGGGCTATTCATGTTAAACTGCGGCATCATCAGGTATCTCAGTGGGCTGGCACTATGAAATCGGCATTAGTCTGGATGAGGACTAGCAGTCAATACACATACACTTTGGCTCATTGCGTCTTCATATCTGATGGGATGAGAAGGTGATCATGTTGCTATATAGTGCAATAATCTTGAACACAATATTAGATCCCATTTCTCCTCACCCAATGAGAGGTTATTGTTTTAAGTGTCTCTTACACTGGCTGCTGACAAAATCCCCGGTCTCAAGCGTTTATTAATTCATTGCCTTTATCTTGCGCGTTTAAATAGTGACTGAAAGTAACTCTAGATAAGGACAAGCTTTTGTTTATAACAGTTGTTTTGTCTAATCGTCATGGTTACTGCATCATGGTTTTAGTAAATATATTGAGGACACTTCAGTCACTTAATGACGTGTGTAATTGGTTCTTCCTCAAATGACATTCGGCAGACATGTACTCTTATTACATTGCTCATTTCCAAAGGACACCAGCATTCAGATCCTATAACCATGGTAACCAAATCACTCCTACTGGTTCCAGACAAAGCAAGCACAATGGTCGTTGGTAGGAACGTTTAGATAGCAAGGCAGCTAATGTAGCAGATTGACACTCTTCATTGATGGGACAAATGAATTTATCAACTATGTCGGCTTTGAGAATGTTATGTCAATCTCAACTGGAAAATAAGGTTGACACTACCTAATGTATGCTGTAAGGTGACATGGCCATGAAAATTAGGATTGGGTGGTCAAGCTGTGTGATTTGGGTCATTGTGTCATCGTATCTGATGGGGTGAGAGGGTGATGGTGCTTTCCGTCACTGGGTTGCCTGGTCCAGACTCGAATATTTGCAGGATGCTGGGATTGGCGCATTCAATGAAATTATTTGTCAATTTATACATTACAGAGAAAATTGAATTCTGTCCATAACAATCACTTCCTGATTAAAAAACTATTTTTTTAAAAACAACCCCAAATCCCTTAACATCTTGAAAAATAGTGCCTGACTCTCACAGTGATGGATTGTGTCAAGTTACTGTTAACACTGTGTCAATGTTAATGTTATGACATGTTGTCTTCGTTTGACTGCTCCACCTCAACTTTGTAGTGAGGGTCAGTGAATTAGCATGTTTAATTCATTTGACAATATTTGAGCCATATTTTGGTAAATTGTAGATATGATCTGGTTAAAAGTTAAAACAACTTACCACATTTGATGTGATAAGACTCAATTACATAACTGGTGACATTTGAATGTTATCTCTTCATGCAACACATTCAAGATGATAAGATGCTTGCTGTTGATGTATTGATATTGTACATGACATTCAAGTAACACTGAATCCATGTGACGGTAGTGGATTTTATGTTAAGTTATTGGATGTAAGACAGATTTTATCTGCCATTATTTGTCGCTAAGTGACACTGATTCAAATCGGTGAAATCTGACACAATATGAAATTACACTGTTGTGATTATGATGCAGTATTGCATGTCTTTTACACGTTTCAACATTGTGAGTTTGTAAATACTGATCTTCATAATATGGGCCAGCTGTGATATTCTCTGATATAGTTGAAAATAATTTTTTTTATTATGGACATTTTTCATGATATGGCATTATTTGTCACTCAGATTCAAAAACTGAATTTTAAAAGTATCATCCCACTAATAATGTCTCATATGCTCACAGAATTCCAATTTTTTATTAACATGGCTTCCATAGTAGCCATTTTGAATATGTGATTTTCTTCCCAATAATCATGTGCCTATTTATATATTTATTTATGTGTTTAAACATACGTTAATGAAGCGAAATATTTATTTACAAGAGATTTTGTGTTTTCATTCTTTATCAACCACTATGATTGTCACTTCCAAATTTATAATTTATTGATATTCCAATGAATTCCATGGTTACTAAGGGTGGCCTTGTGGTTAAAGCACTTGCTCATGATTCTGAAGGTCTGAGTTCGATTTTACAGTGTGTGAGGCCTTTTGCCGGTGTTCCCCAACTGTGATATTGCTGGAATATTCCTTAGAGCGCTGTAAAACCATACTCACTCACTCCAATGAATTCCGGTGAGCTACAGGACCACACAGACTCTATTGACCAATGATTAGGTGTGTTTCTGGTGTACAAAACTCAGTATGGTCGGACAACCCAGGGACAGTGATATCATTGTTCAAGGAGGCTTGAAGACATTATTGCCACTTTTTGTTCCGGAAGCCAGACCCCATGCTACAAAGTGCAAGTCAATGTAGCTTCCTGAGATCCTGATTGGACTACTTTCCAGTGCTCTAAATCAATCTGCTACACACAGGAATTAATCACCTAATGTGGCCTATTTCCCCTGCCACCTTGTGTTGAGCAGACCACCTGCTTCCCATGTGTGGGCAAGCTGACAACTATACTTTCATGGGGTATAATGGCCGTCGTCGTTAGAACTCAATGACTGTCTTCCGAACCAACTACTAATTGAACGAGGTTGGATGGTTTGAATTACTCTTATGGACATCTTCGAAACACATGGAACCTTTGGGAAATTGAGCTATATTTTTGTTCATTTTGCTGTGGAGATTCCAAGGCCAAATAGGTCCCCAGTACCTCATGATAGTGGTTAGAGCAGGCTTATGACAATGAGTGGCTTACTGTTTGTCTTTGTCTTCATGATGACAGGGATTGTACCGATACTGTCCTTTACAGGTTTGCTTGGCAGAGTAAAATTAGGGGACTTAATAGATCGGGTAGTCAGGCTCGCTGATTGTCATCGTATCCCAATTGTGTGATCGATGCTTACAATATCATTCCCTTGATTGTCTGATCCAGACTCGATTACTTACAGACTGTCATCATATGGCTGGAATATTGCTGAGTGCGGTGATAGACAGCAAACCAGCAAGCTTGGTACAGACTCATTTGTTAAGAGGCTGCCAGCTGTGATGTGGTCGGAATATGCCTGACATAGCTGTAATGTTTAAGGTTAACAACTGTGACCATGGT